GAAGTTACAAACAAATCAGATTCAATAAACAAAATGATAACAGCGTCATTTAGCACAACATCAAACGCTTCATCGACAAGGACACCAACGATAATACCTAGCATAACAACTATCACAACGATAACACCTACCGCAACGATAACACCTACCGCAACGATAACAACTACCACAACGATAACAACTACCCAAAAGATAAAACCTACCATAACAACCGAACCAGAAATAAAAGAACAAAAATCATGTAACGAGATGCCTTCGTCAACAAAACAAAATCCATCACTTACTCCAATCCAAGACCAATCTGATGTCATCAAACTAGTAGAAAAAGAGCAAAAACCATGCAACAGGACGCTTCCGTTACTGTCGCCGGAAGAAATACATAAACTTAGGATGGTCTTCTTTGGGCTGCCGATTGGTTTAGCTATTGTTCTGCTTGGTCTGCTGATCGCTGTCCTGATATACGTAACAAGAAAACATCTAAAGAAACGTCAAGGTACATAAAATTCTATTATTAGCTATTTAACAAACCCAGCATTTTCTTTTATAAATGGAAATGGTAATTCTTTTCCTGGATTCCACATTTTCTACAATGTTGAATTTTTATTTAATAATGTACAATTAAGGACTCTTTCGGTGGTGAATATGGTTTGTTTTATCAGTATGAATATGCTTCCCATTACCACAATATAGGTAAAATATTAGATATTCTTCGAAATAAAGTAAAGTACTTCACTTTAGTTTCTGGGCGATTCAATGTTGAATACAATGGAAATTTTCTTACTGCTTTGGAAGAAAAACGAAATGTTTGGCTTATTTAAATATTACTGGCGAGTATACTGTCTTGTAATTTTTTCCACCGAAAGTACTCAAAAAAAAATTCAATAACAAAATTAATTGTTATGAAAACTTGAAGGCAGTAATACAAATACTGTAGTATGCTATTAACAGCATTCATTGCATCAAATCGCGCATTTTCATGAAGAGTTCTACTTTCCTGAAGTAGTCCTTGGTAATTACTTTGTAATTTCTGCTCGTTTGTACACATCGTTTGTGAGTTATGTAATATAAGTAAATTCCTTCCTGATTTGTCGCCTTCTGTCCATGTATGGGGAGGTGTCTCCCTTTGAGAACATGGAAATCATCTCAGTCTAGGTCAATGTACTAATTATTTTCCTTTGAACGAAAGAGAAAAGATAAATATCCTTTAGATAAATTTTTTCTCTTAAAAATGTGGTAAAATAACCTCACACACTGTATTTTTTTTAAAAACAGGCTCTAAGTTTCTTTGTTTATTTAACGTCTCTTTCGACAATTTTTCGCTCAATTCAATTCAATTTATTCACTCAAAAACCATGTAAATGGTACATGAGGTACATAAACATATAAAACATATATACATATAATACAGTGGGTCAACAAAAGGTGAGATTAATTCAGCTACATGTAGCTAGGGAGAACAGATCATAATACTATTAATCTTAGTAATAAATGTACATGATTTTTTCAAAGAATCAACATCATTTTGGCACAAAACTTCACAAAACTTCATAGTGTTTGACTTAGAACAAAATTTTTGGTTCAAAAAAATTTTCCTCGGTTGGTTTAAAGCACTACATTCTAAAATATAATGATATTCATCTCCTATCTGATTACTATCACATAAGCTAAAAAATCTTTCATTTCTTTGAGTACCATTCCATCTACCTGTTTCAATTAGAAGGTGATGGTTTGTGGTTCTAAATTTAACTAAAGTTTTGCTAAATTTACATGATAACAGTGTTAAATATTTTTCGCACTCAAAATTGGTTTTAAAAATTCTATAATTTAAACTTTTTGAAGATTCTTGAACTTCACTATTCCACTTTTGAATATACTGATCTTTTAATCTTTGTTTGACTGTAGCAGTTATCCATTCTACATTATAGAAATATTGCTCATACCATATATTTGATAAACCACATCTGTCAAAAATATTTTGTACAAATGAAATCCAGGAGTTTGTCATTTCTCTTTTATCATATTGTTTACGTAAATACATATATACAATTCTACACAATTTGTTTTCTTTTCCATACACAAGTTTTGCCCAATATTTTACCATTCTTGAGTAAATATTTATATATAATGGAAACCGTCCAGTTTCTCCATAAATCATATAACTTGGAGTAGTACTTTTTAAATTCAATACTAGTATATGTTTCAGAAACGTAAACGTACTCGTTCAATAATATCAATATTTTCATAACCCCATATTTCACAGCCATATAACAATACTGGTAAAACTACTTTATCAAACAGATCCAATTGACATTCGAAGGGTAGATTAAATTGTCTAATTTTACGTATCACACTAAACATGTACATTGCCTTTTGTGCTTGTTCACATAGGTGTTTTCCTGCTTTACATAATGAGCCTGTACGAGAAAATACAATCCCCAAATAATTAAAATCTTTGACTACTTCTATGACACTGCCATTATATGTAAAAATATTTTTTGGTTGTCTACCCTTTGAGAAAATAAGTATCTTTGTTTTCTTAATATTCACACACAATTTCCATTTTTCATAATATATGTAAAATTCATTTAATGCTCTTTGAAGATCGTCAGCACTTTCCGCAAGTATTACAGTATCGTCGGCATAAAATAAGATAAACAATTTCATAAACAAAAACAGCTCACCCTCTATACCTTTGCTAATGCTAGACAAACCGGCAATATTCTTTTCTATCAAAAAATCTTCCAAGTCATTGATATACAATGAGAATAAGAAGGGCGATAAGTTTTCACCTTGTCGTACACCAACATTACAGTTAAAAAATTCTGATGACACACCATTCATCTGTATTCTAGATTTGATACCATTATACATATTTCTAACAAAAGAAAAACATTTACCGTTAACCCCACTTCTGAAAAGTTTACACCAAAGATCATCTTGCGATACTGTATCGAATGCTTGTTTGAAATCTATAAATGCACAAAACAATTTTCTTCTGCTGTTAATTAGTGTCTGCGATAAGAATTGTAATGATAGAATATTTTCCAAAGTAGAGTAACCTTTTCTGAACCCAGTCTGGCTTTCTTTAATGAGTGTGACATCTTCTGCACAATTCTCTAGCCGATTACTTAAGATTCTCGTAAAAAGTTTACCCAGACAGCTTAAAAGGGTAATCGGGCGATAATTCTCAGGATGAGTTGGGTCACCCTTATTTTTGTAGATTGGTTTCAGAATACCAATTAACCAATTTTCTGTTACAATACCAGTTTCGAAAATAAGATTGAAAAGGTTTTCATAAATTGGTAAAAGGTTTGGTAAGGTTGTTCTTATATGCTCATTTAGAATATTGTCGAAGCCCGGGGCCTTACTGTTCTTCAAATCATTTACAGACGAGGAAATTTCTTCTCTAGTGATTGGGTAGTCTAGCAACTCATTACTATTGTTATCATCTACATGTAAATAGTCCATCCAGTTAACCTCATTACATTCAGTATTACTTGTTTCATTCATGTCTCTAAAATAACTAAACATCGAGTCTATATCCGCAGAGCATTTATCTGATTTCTTAGTACTTTTAAGAATGTCCCAATATTCTTTTGTATTCGCTGAACGTAATTTCTTTAGTTTCTGCGATATATCTTTTCGATACTGTTTTATTGATTTATCCATTATTTTTTTGTAATTTTTACTCGCTTTCTTCAAAATTTCTTTATTTTCACTTGTTTTGTTTCCGTTATTTGCGCGCTTTGCTAAATGAAATTTTTTTCCTTGCTGTTCTACAGTTATTGTTAAACCATGGTTTATCTTTCTTCTTTACATTACTGGTTCGGTAATTTTTTCTTCCAAATGATTTCTCAGCAGCATTGAAAATATATCACACTTTCTTAAAATAACATTATTGATACTTTCTTTATCAACGTTATTTGAAGTTCTTAAATTTAATAGTTCCTGTTCAATACTTTTTAAAGAATACTGGTCAATGTTCTCACGAAAATCGTCTGCTTTGTCATTTCAAGCCCATACCAAGACTCCTCCACCTACCGGTGAAGAGTTACAAATTTAGACCTATGCTCGGCACTCAGGGCCATTGAGCAGTGCGGGATCTTTCTTGCTAGCACATACTGCAACATGGGATCTCGGTTTATACGGTCTCATCCAAAGGACCGGTCTCCACGTCCCACAGTGGGATTTGAACTCGCGACATAAGGATCAACTCCTTACTCCGCGACTGTAGAGCAAACGCTCTAACCACTGCGCCACGCGGGCGACCAGCATATAAGTGAACAAAACATTTAAATATACTGTAATTTAGTCGAAATCCAGTTGCCAATTGAATTTGAAAATTCTGCCATAGGTTATATTTTTCATGATTCCTGCTTGTAGGAATAAATTCATACTTTCTAGATGAAGAGACTGGAGGCGGTATAGAGGATAAAGAAGGTAAACCTGTTGAAGAAGGACAAGAATCCAAAACCAAAGACGCCGAGGGTAAAAGCGAAGATCAAAAAGAAAAGACAGAGCAAGACCAAAAGGCCGAGGAAAACACCGGACAAATTTCTGACTCGAAGACAGAAGAGAAGACAGAAAACGAAAATGGGACAAAACAGGAAAAGAAAACAGAAGAAAATTCAAATCAAACGTCAACGGAAACATCAGAGCAAAAGGTAGAGGCAAATGTTCAGAAGGACAAAGAAATTGAACAAACACCCCAAACCAAAGAAGAAAACAAACCTGCAGCTCTCTCAGCTGAAACAGGTATCGCATCAGAACAAAATGTAACTTCAAAACCCACAGAACCAGTGAAGAACGGAAAGGAAACCACGGATGAAAAGAGCAAAGAATTGACGGATAAAAAAGACCCGAACGTTGAAAAGACTGAGAAAGAGGCTGGAGCAGATGGAACTACGAAGACTGAAGACGATGCTGATGCATTTCAGACGTCGATTGATATTTTGACCTCGTTTATTAAGGAAACTGAGAATATCTGCGAAGAGAAAAAGAATGGAAATGAAAAGAAAGATGAAGAAAATAAAAAAATTGAGCCAACTGATTCAGCGTCAGGGGACACTAAGAACTTGACGGATCAGAACAGTGGTGGGGCGCTTGATTCCGTCAAATCGACAAATGACCAATTAAAAGCAAGCACTGAAAAAACGGAAGTTAACGCTGAAACAATACCGGACAGCAGTTCAGTGACAGAAAGCAAAACAGATGCAGAAACGAACGAGAAAGATTCCTTACAATCTAAAAATGAAGATTGTAAATCGGAGAAGAAAACTGAAGATTTAAGCAATACAGAGCAAGCGGCATGCGACAAAAACGAAAAACCATTAAAAGCTGAAGATCCACCTGACAACAAATCTGACCCACCCCTCCCACCGCCACCGGAACTAGATACGACCGAGAATCTGTCAGAGGAACATCCCGAGCCCGATCTGCCCCTACCCCCAGAGGTATCCAACGATGTCCAAAGCTCCTCCGGAGAGTCCAATGAAGACGACTCCGAATGATTTCAAGTTTTAATGTTCACGAGTACTGTTAGGTTCAGACAATTTAAAACAAGTCGAAAGTCTTGTATGTTTGTGTATTTGATATTACCATTAATCGGCATTTTTGATGCAACCTAAGGTTTATGCAATTTTGCTTGTTAATAGCTTTCCCCTAAATTTTGTTATGTAGAAAAAGTTTATCCCTTAAATAATCATTCTTCTCGAGTTTAAATATGTTATTCTTTCAATTGTTAAATATACTTTCGATCATTTCATCAAAATGCTGTTCAACTTGATTGACCTCATTATCTGATGCATTTAATTAGCGCAATTTCGATTTCTTATAATCTTCTTGTTATATGTCAGTAGTTTTAAACCTTTCATAGCCAATTTACTCGAAAGATGTATAAAGTACAGTATATTGTAAGTAATAAATAAATCAAACTCTCATTCTTTTCCCATTGCTTCACTTGCTAATATTTTACTTTGAGCTGTTTTTGTAGACTGACTATGTTTACTCCCACAAAATATACTTCCTACGAGATTAATATTTCATGGAGTTGTTTTACAATGGTATCATGGTTTAATATCATATTTCTACAAATTTGACTTGAAGACGGTCACTTGACCCCAAACATATGGTTGTGAAAATCCACTAACCACACAAACAAATGTATTGAAATAGATTGTGGATTTCTATAATTATAATAGTACCCTGAAAGCTCGTGAGCTTTTCTGATCAAAGTTTGCATGGGAATTCAAGGAAGAGCAAATTGGGGTCATATTAGGAAAACAAGCTTGCGTGACATAGGAATATATATATAAGGAACAACTCTTAAAAAGTCTGGACCTTTTTACAAAATATCTTACGACTTATACCAAAATTTTCCAATTTTCCAAAAAGTATCTCAGCCATTGGAGGTGAAAAAAAATCTTGTTTTTCTATTATACATGTACAAGAATGTATTGTGAATAAACATTAGAAAAAAAAATCATATTCAACAAAGAAATTACAAGAGTTTTAAAATTTTGATCTTAGTCGTAAGGTTTTTTTTATGAAAAGGGCTACGGATTTAAAAAAAGATGCAACTTGTCGCATTGATCAGCATCCCCAAATAGTGTAAATTCAAAACTGGTCAAGTCATTGAAGGTGGGCAATAATGGGGATCAATAAAGTTTACAATGGGATAACTAAAAAAATCTTTTGAAATCTTATGAAGTACAGCAGGGTGACAATTGGTTATATGATATACAAAAATAAAATCCCCATGAAGTGTAAATTAAATTTGGTGAAGTGAATGTCCCTTGGGTACAGGTGTGGCCACAATAGGGGATAAAAATTTTACATAGTAATTTTTAAAGAAAAATTTACATTGTAAGCAATGAATTTGAAACCAAACTCAGTCTTTCACCTGCCAAGGTGACTCGGGTCAGCATTGTGGCCCATGGGCCTCTTGTTTCTTTTTTTTTTTTTAAAGATTTAGATTAATTGTCACTTCTACTTATCTGTTGACGTAAGGTTAATAAGTTCTTTGTAAAGCTGAAAGCAGCTTAGTCCCATCACAATGACTATATAAACGTTGTTTATATTTTCGATGGTCTCGTTCCTGCTGCAATTTGAGACTAGGTCCTAATTAGCGACAGAACGTAGCGATGTCAAGATGCTTGCTACTTGAAGGCTGATTCCCCATGTAAATCCCTGGTCCTCTAATTGGCTACTTCCGGTTGTATACTTAGGTATGACTGTACTTAGATGTCTTTTACTGAAGTTGCAAACTGCGGTATAAATATGAAAATCCCTTGCATTGGAATTATACTGACTTTATATCTTGCAACCGAAATTTCAGAGGGAGGTAAGTTTTTTATTTATACCCATCTTTGTATGTTCCAAGATTTGATAGCTTTAATAGTAAATTGTTTTCATTTGATTTTTTTTCTCAAGGATTTATGATGGTTAAAGATAGGAAAGCGGTGTCTTACTTATCATTTTTGTCAATGCATTTTTAACTTTTTTTAAAAAAAAAACTTCATTAGAGAATTTCAATCTAGAACTTTTATTTACTTTTCTTAAAATCAGTATTTCTCAAAATTTTTTGTTCAGAATTACACAAGCTTACTTATCGGGGGAAAAATTATCTCTAAGATACGTTGAGTGAATTTTCCAAGAACAAAATTTATCTTTATATCACCAATAACATACGAGATTAAAGAAATTTTGTCCAGCTTTCGTAACCATTTGTTTTACAGCAGGACGTTTTAATTGCAAAAAGCCAACACTTGAAAATGGTTCAGCTCGAATACGAAGTAAAGGTCGACTTGTTAGGTTTCGCTGTAAGAGACGATTCAAACTTTACGGGGCTAAAGTAGCTATCTGTAGAAATGAAGAATGGACTTTTCCCACGCCGGTTTGCGTTGGTATGTTTGTTTTCGTTATTTTTTTTCCTCTTCTAATATTTTTTTTAAATTTTATACAATTTTATTTCATCTTGATCTATTTTTAGCAAATGGTAAAAAATGTCCAAAATTAAAGAAAAATAAAGATATGTTAATAACCTCAAATCTAAGGAACGGACTTCTGAAGTATTCCTGCAAGTCTGGGTTTAAATTAATTGGAAACAGTCTTTTGTATTGTGACGGATCGAAGTGGAGCAGTGAAGTACCACAATGTATATGTAAGTTATATTTATATTATTTCAGGAAATAGAGAATTTATCAAGAAATGTTATTATATGTAGGCCTACTTCATTTATGTAAATTGTTGATTCAAACTGGACAATTAATAAATCTTTTGCAAAAATGAAATGCAATCAAAACAATGTTCGAGTGGAATTATTATTATTATTATTATTATCATCATCATCATCGTCGTCATGATTATTATTATTATTAAAAACAAATTTTTTTCTCCTTTGTGACCCCTTTGAGATTAGACATTGAGTTAATACCAAGACACGTGTTATGTCATAGGCAAATATAGGCCTCGACCTTTCTTCACTACTTCATATAACATGACTCTAAAAATAGTTCTTCATGGTTATTTATTTGTTGCTTTACTCTTAAAATGTCTTCTTTTGTTGTGGTCAATTAAAGAGTACGTTTCTTAATTCGGAAAAAAATCAAAGTACTGAAAGTACTACTACGAGTTGATGGTATTGATTATATGATGTTTAAATGAGTTGAGGTCTCTAGTCCATATATGGATTATGTGATATTATATGCATTGATGAAAACTATCACTTTAAAGTCTTTTTTTTTCTTTGAGAAATAAAATTATATCATTTTATTTACACCTTTTCCATCATGTATTTTTAACATGTATATTTATATTTTTTTAATATCTACTGGAATGTAGAATAATTTATCACAAATCGAACCTTTAAACATAGAAAACAAATAATACTAAGTCAGTTTTGGGATTTTTCGTAAAATGACAAAGTAGCTTGCATTTAAAGTAATTTGTATTTTTACAAAATATTAAAGGATACCATTATTGAAATGGTCACAGAGCACAGACTATCGTCATTAAAACTACCGAGAACAGTTTTTGGGCACTCAATATCATTTGACAGAAATATCATATATCAAATGACTAGAAATTTCAAATAGGGAAAAATGGCAAAACTGTTGTAAATTCATTTTATAGAATTCAAACAACTAAGTAGACAAAAAAAAAAAAAAAAAAAAAAAATTAAACACACATATCTCAAACTAATAGGCTAAACCTACAATAGTATTACAAGTAGGGAATTATTATTTACAAATAGCACAAATTGAATTATTTCATTAACATGCTCACTGAATATTTTCACTGCTTTCTTAAATTGACAAACAATTTGATATTTTCAATGCACATCAATATGTTCCAATTCTCGTGAATAAGCCAGTCTTAAAATTCATATCTTTTACTTTCATTTATATGTATATTACATAATTCAATTTTCTTGATTTATAGTTACTATTGAAATTCAACTCCTTGTCTTTCAAAATTTACATGCACATATGATATTTCAATTCTCTTGATTTAGCCACTCTTGAAATTCAACCCCCTGTCTTTTATGATCATTGATATGCACAATAAATATTTTAATTCTCTTGATTACGCTATACTCTTGAAATTGAACTTCTTGACATTTAACTGAAATGGTCATTTTATATGTCATTTCGTTTGGTTTAGTCACTCCTGAAATATAACTACTTGACTTTGATATGCACATTTTATATATCATCTCTCTCGGTTTAGCCTTTCTTGAAATTCAACTACTTGACTTTCATTGATACAAGTATGCACGTTAAAAAATTTCAATTCTTTCGGCTTTTCGACTGAAGACTTTAAATTTATCACAGTGGCATGATATTGACTATATACATGATCTATCTACTCTTGAATTAATTTGATTTCTTGATCTCTTCACATTTATAAATATGCATTTCACATTTAATTTATCAATAACGCCCCGCTTAATTTTTTTTTATTTATTGCCTTCAATACTATTAATTCACTTTATAACATGGCCAGCATCTGATAGCAAAACACAGCTGGACATATTAAAGGAAACCACTTTCCAGTGTAGTGCCGACAATTAATGAGATAAAAATCACAAACGTGTTAACTGACCATTGCGCATTTAAAGCTTGCTGTGAAACAGATCTAGAGTGTGGAAGACAGTGTTTTTAACAGGGAAAAAGAAATTGGAGCACAAAATTCTCCGCTGCTGAAAAAATCTAACCCTTGAAACAATCGAAATCTTTCATTGTTTGTACAAGAAGTAAGAACTTTAATTACAAAACTGTTTTTACTGGTACAGCTCATTTCTTCCATTTGAGATTGGCAATTGATTTACTTCGACCTTCTTTACTGCAAACTTCTCGCTTTGTTTACAAACTTGGGCAGTGTTCTCTGTGTTGAACGATTCATCACTAACGCGGGAAAACTGCTCTGTTCATTAGCATAACAGCGCAAGAATTAGTTTATTTATGTACCACCAGCACGTCAGTCTTTTAAAAATAACCTGGTTTGTACAATGTTCAGTTTTGTGAATTTTCTTTAAAAATCTGTTTTTTTTTAAAAAAATACTTCTTATTATATAAAACATTTATTGATTTATAAATCAAAATTTTGTTTGCACGACATGTCACTTTTGTTGACCGCATGTCCCTAACACTATTTTCTTTTGCGGATGGACACAAATTCCAATAAACTTAATAATAAATATTTATGTTTATAAATATTTCCAAGCATATCAGGAAACAATATATCCCTGTTCTGTAGATCGTGAAAACTGTAAATAAACTAATATTATACAAGAACCCTTACGCAAAATACTCAAATGAAAATGTTTCGATACATTGGGGAATCCCTTACAAGTCACATAACATGAGTTGATACCATCAACTCATAAAAATTGTCATGTTGATAAAAAACACAATTTTTTAAATACATGTAGCATTTTGATTAATAAGTTCTTTGAGACATGCAACATAATCAAAGTAAGTCAAATAGTTCGGTTTTTTTTTGACAGTTTTCACTCTCATTTAGCGATACGTACAGTGTAATTCCAAAACGCGCTCCGCATCAATATTGTCAATAAGTGACATTTATCGATAAGCTGACTCTATTTAGAGATAGAGCAATATGCTGACCAGGGCCCTTTTTGAACGGGGAGAGTGGGGGTCGGGGTGGTTAAATCATTGATTCAAACATGTATCTCAGTTTTTATATCAAGCACATCCTAGCTTTAAATCAACATTGTAGATGTGGAACCAAAGAAATCCTGTGATTTTGAAACAGAGGATTTATGCGATTGGGAACAAGATAAATCGGACACTTCATATTTTGACTGGACACGAACTACAGCTGCCCAGATAAAACATTCTACAGGAACTGGACCCACCTCGGACCACACATACCCAGACAAAAACACAGGTCTGATGATCAAAATTTCGTCCAAATAGAAACACTTTTGATATGGAAAGACTTTTTAAAATGTAGAAAGTGAGACTATCGAAATTTATTTACCCGTGAGAACCCGTGAGAACAATGACAAAATGAACATAATGTAAGGAAAAAGATTTATTTTATCAAAAATAGAACCTAATTTTTAATATAATACCGCGACTATCTTTTTTATTTATTTATTTATTTATTTTCTGATTTTTCATAATGAGGATATTGTAAATATGTGCTAGAAAAATAATTCATGAAACAAAACAAGGAAACAATCCTTTGCATGGGCTAGCAATATGTATTTGGATAGGGGGTGGGCTGTCTGGATACTCTGAGGTCAATAAGAATATTTGAAGACAATGTGCGCAATATAAAATGATTTTTTTGTGAGACATCACAAGATTTCAGTTGCATCAAAATGATTTGTAATTTTGACTGTATGTCACTTCCTGTCTATGTTTGTTTTTCTTTGATTGTAGGTCACTACCTGTTTATGGAAGCTTCCAGACCTAGAATGCCGGGGGATTACACTACTCTGTTGTCACCATACTACAATCCAGTGGAAGCTGGTCTCTGCTTTGAATTCTGGTATCATATGCTTGGACAAGATGGAGAAGGGAGTAAATACATTGTATTTAGTTTTTGAAAATATTTTACCTTATTTACCTTATGCATTTTTCAGTTAAAAAATACTATTAAATATTTATTTATTATTCAATCTACGTTTGTATTTATTTACTTTTAAATATCAAATTATGACTTTGAATTGCTTGGTACGCGTAAATATAAAATTTATCTATTATATCTTTTTTTGAAAATGTGTATCATGTATATGTGATTTTCTGTAATCAATGGTATTTTTATACCCCCGTAATCGAAAAGACAGGGGCTTAAGTTTTTGCTCTGTCCGTCTGTTTGCTCGCAAAAACCTTAACATTGGCCATAACTTTTGATTGGCAAGAGTAAGGAATTTTATATTTCACATGGGTCTTCCTTGTGATAAGACCTCTTTTTGGGTTCCAACAGATTTGACCTCTTGACCTTGGAGTTTGACCCACTTTTGCAAAATTTCACCAAACTTAAACTTGGTCATAACTTTTAAACGGTTGGTGAGAGGGCTTTCACACTTCACATGTACATATCTTGTGACAAGGCCTTCCCTTGGGTACCAATAATTCTGACCTTTTGACCTTTACATTGTGGTTCGACCTACTTTTGAAAACTTTTACCTTGGCCATAACTTTTGAACGGTTGGTGCTAGGGCTTTCATATTTCACATGTGTATTCCTTGTGACAAGACCTTTCTTAAGTTTATATATTATTTACCTCTTGACGTTAACCTTTGAGTTTCACTTACTTTAAATTTGTAAAACGTTAACCTTGACTATAATTTCTGAATGGTTGCTGTAAGGGCTTTTATATTTCACAGGTGTATTCCTTGTGACAAGACCTTCCTTTGGTATCAACATTTTTGATCTCTTGACCTTGGAGTTTGACTTGCATTTGAAAATCTTTAACCTTCGCCATTAGCTGTTTTCCGGGGGCAACAGTTTTCACAAACACATCTTGTTTAGATTTCAGAACGGCAGATATTTAAATAACAAGTATACTTTTCAGGTGTAGGTTCACTGAAAGTTGGAATAAAAGATTCTGATGCTAGCTCTTCTAATCTACGCCCTGTATGGAATATTTCTGGTAACCAAGGTAAAAGCTGGCACAAAGGGTCATTAGAAATCGGAAAAAGGACCTCCCTTTTCCAGGTATTACATCCCATTTTTTTTTATACATTTCTTTTTAATTTATTGTTAAAAATATATTTATGACATATTTTTTGAATAGCAGAAAAAAAAGAAACACTATTACATTTGCGGAATTAAATTTCTGTAGATAGTAATTACTGGCACTCGTGGCGATGACCATCGCGGTGACATAGCGATTGATGACGTCTCCATCACCAACTGTACAAAAGGTAATCAAAACATCAGATGTATATTTCATTCCAGTGTAGTATTCACGAAATTAATAACTTAATTAAAAAACCTTATACTTCAAACAAAATTAAAAAGTAAAAATATCAATAGAGTAAAAGAGCTGCAATGATCCGAGGACCAAAATATTTTCAAAATGCTTCATAAAAGCCAACATGATGTTGCAATGATTAATGACATGAGATTTTGAGGAAAATGAACCAAAAAATCCATTATTTTCAAAATAAAGGAGTATATTCGGTAATTACCAATATTTTCCCCCAAAATCAAACTTTGATGTAGAAATATAAAATTATGTTCCAAAACAGGGGGATACCTGCAGACTTCAAAGCACTGGAAATCTTTATAAATCATGACGTCATATGTTAGATATGACGTCAAAAATGACGCAAATTCCAAATTTCCTTGATTTATCAGAAAAAGGTTTATATGATTGATTGATTGATTGTATGTTGTTTAACGTCCCTCTCGAGAATTTTTCACTCATATGGAGATGCCACCACTTGCCGGTGGAGAGCTGCAAATTTTGTCCTATACTCGGCACTTACGGCCATTGAGCAGTGAGGGATCTTTTTCGTGCCAGCACATACTGCGACACTGGACCTCGGTTTATTCGGTCTCCTCCGAAGGACCGGTCTCCACGTCCCACAGTGGGATTCGAACCCGCGACGTAAGGATCAACTCCTTACTTCGCGACTCTAGAGCAGACGCTCTAACCACTGCGCCACGCGGGCAACAGGTTTATATGACGTCGATATTTTGAGTAAAAGTCACCGAGCGCAGGTCTGCTCCAACTCAGTATTTTGATATAATGTGTAGAATAATAATATCAATGAAATATGTAAATATTGTTCTGGAGCAGGCCTGCGCTCTATAAATTTTGCCCATTTTTTCTCTTTCTGAAAAATAACATAAAATCCGAATAGTTTGTGACGTCATAGATACAAAAATTTTCAATAACCTACTTTGAAACTTTAATATTTTTTGTTAATTTGGATTTCTCATACAATATATATACAATTCAGCATATTTAAAGAAATTTTCAAAATATGACTATTTTTTTTTGGGGGGGGGGCAAAAAAATGCATAAATACCGCATGTATAGTTCTTTTAAAAAAGAAACCAAACAATTTTTAAAAGATGTTCCTGTCTTCATATAACGTAATATGGCATAATGTTGGTGCGATTTATTGATGTGTCATTTTATGTTCATCCGGCTTGAACAAGGGAAAATCCTCAAGTTGATTCAGATAAATCTAGCGTTACTTTGGATCTTCAAGTTAATCCTGACAATAACCTAATTACATAGAAAAGATGGTTTTATACAACTGCAAAGTTCCGGATTTAAATAGAAACCACCTTGGTCATCTGTCTGTTTATGTTAATTGAACCAGAGACATTACATCTCATAGTACAAAATATGTACATAAAAATTGCACAGGATAAGTGTAGTATATACTATATACATTAGCAATCACATAACCAGTATCATTTACTGCTTTATCATTTCTTATATATTGTACACTTTTTAAAACATCATTTCTTAATTGATAAGAAAAATACAGAAATTTACCTAGGTTACATAATTCTTTAGTATTTGTGGAACTCACTAACTATACTAATTTAAACACTGATGTTTTTTTTTTAAAATAATAACTGTTGATATATTTAATTCTTAGTTCTTGATATTAAGGATATTTTGATACATTTAGTGAAATTCGTCCTCTATCTCATCTGATATACATGTTTCACATTTTCTATCTTTTCTTTCTATGTTACTGTACCTTCCCCTCTTTATCTCTAAATCATGCGCTGATAGTCTTAGACGAGTAATAGGTATTCTTTATTTTGAATGTAATGGTTTTCTTAAAAACTTTGTGCAATGGTCTTCTGGATGTAAGTTTGAAATGAAGCTCGTGCTTGGTACAAAGATTGCCTGTGTCCAAAGGCTACATGTAAGTCATGATCAGTGCCCAGGGTTTGGGTAAGCTGGAGGTCATTATAAAATATGAAAAAGAGTTTTTTGGCCATATATTTCTAATTAAAACGTTGGAAGCCTATACCCAGATTTCAGGATTGCTTATGGCTTGGTGGCATGTTATGACAATACTTATGACTTATTGTACTGTTGTAGGTAAGTTTATTCGGACAAGTTCATAGTTATATTTAGAGAAAAAGGCAAAATTTATATATTTGACAGATTTTCGGAAGCGCATAATTGACCAGGTGGAAAAAGACACCCCCACCCACACATTTCAGTTCTGCTTTGAATTAATACAGCCTGCCCAAAGTTTTGCTATTAAAAAATACATAAAAAATATTGCAAAGCCTCTTTTAATTTTTTAAATCTTTTACTTTCTAATTGTTTGATTTTAATGGCGTTTGGAAAATTAGTGCAGATTTCCTCTAAAATAACATATCTTGACCACAAAACGGCCTATTTTCAATGTATCGGATTGAATGAAATTCATGAAAATTGGAAAGTGTCTTGAATAAAGATTGAAATTTCACTTATGATCATTATTAATGCGTAAATAATTTTAAAATTCGGATAATTGACAAAATTAGACTCAATCAAAAACAAGGTAGAAATCTTGAGATGCTCAGACATGATAAACAAATAAGGTGTGAAGGTGGTTTGTAATTTTGATACCAGGGTATCGTTTCACAAAAGCATCGTAAGTTGTACGTAGTACGTAATTGCGACGTAAGTAGTGCGTAGCTAAAATTTCGGCGTATGGCAGCTTTTTTGCGGGTGTACGATCAAGCGTCTCGGAAAAGTTTGAAGCGGTATTGGAGCGGTATTGTAGTGTATTTGGAGACAGGTTGAATCCACTGAATTCATACAGTGATGACGAGATTATTAAGAGGTTCCGTTTGGACAGAAGGTCGATCTTAAGACTTTTAGACATTGTTGGTGAGCAGTTGGAAAGACCGACACAGCGCTCACAAGGTCTGCCAGCATCCCTACAGCTCTTCGCTGTTCTAAGATTTATGACCTCGAGAACAGAACAGAGAGTCATCGGTGATACTCTTGGAATCTCAAAGTCATCAGTGTGCAGGTCGGCGAATGTTAAAATAATGAAGTAAATTTCTTTTTAATTTGATAAACATGAAACATTATTAGACTGTATATTAGAAAAATACACATTAGTTTCTAAAAGATCTCGCTATGTGTGTATAGTATTTTTTTTAAATTGACATTAATTATTTCTAACCCTATCATTTATACAGAGCATTCCTTTATTTTTATAAGTCATCAGAACGTTAAGATTTGAATATAATTTTGCAAGCTTAACAAGAAGTACAACGTGCAGTTTATCTAGCAGAAACACCAGAGATCATACTCTGTTTGCAGATCAATTGACAAAGAAGTCGAAGTTTTATCCACATCTTTGAACACCATCAAATTTCCTTCTGAAGATGCAGACAATTTTTATTCAATGACGGGGTTTCCAAACGTGGTCGGTGCAATTGACGGCACGCTTATACCTATTACAGCGCCAAAATCTGACTAGCACCTGTACATATGTCGGAAAGGATTCCACTCCATAAACGTACAAGCTATTGCTGATTCTGACCTGAAGTATGTCCCTATAATTCCTAATACTTGTAACATACACTATATGCTAATAAGTGAATCATTAATTCTTCTCTTTTTTCAATTAATACATTTTTTTTTATTGAAAAGCATCTTTGTTTATACAAAACACTTATTGTGGTGTCAAGTTTAGCCCAAATTCCTTTTTCTCAGTAAAAATTCTTCGTCGACGCTGTGCAAAGTGTGATGTATTGATCATTCAGAATTATAAAAGTCTAAAATTTTAACCTGCAATCTTTTCAGTATTCAATGGGAATTTTATTAAATATTTCATTGAATTTTATAGCCAAAAACTATAAAATGATTCGCGGTGAGAGAAAGAGAGAGTGAATAATTTGAAATATGCATGTATATATATATATATATATATATATATATATATATATATATATATATATATATATATATATATATATATATATATATTACGGATTATTATACTTTCATGTTAAATACTAAAATCTGATTGGTTTAGACGCATTTAACAATCCGTAATGTTACCCTCAGCGTTAGCAACACACTTGACAACGGGTAACATTACGAAAATATCACATGCGTTCAAATCATGCGCGTACGGTTCACCGTAGAATTCTCAAAACGTCGGTTGTGCGTTTGAAAGAAGCCGAATAAACGACGTCAATAAAAGCTTGCGTCCGATGTAGCTTACTTGAAAACAACAAACGACAGACGAAACATCCTTGCGAGTGCATTCTTTAGATGATAAAGGACTTTTTGAGTAGCGAACAAACAATAAAGAGGTTGGTAAATCTTTTCCGAAACTTTCTTATTGAGAAAAATAGAAGCGGGGAGTTTGAAAGCTTTCTAAGCGTGAACTTAACGACGATCTCTGAATTTTTGTTATGACATCCGAAATCAATAAGACATTCAGTATAATAAAATAAATAGTGCACGTTTTTGAGGGTAACAGTTGAAATTGACACCCCTCGGAAAACCATTGTCAACCTCCGCTGACGCGTCGGTTGACAATGGTTTTCCTTGGGGTGTCAATTTCAACTGTTACATTGTACCCTCAAAAACGTGCACTATTTATATATTGTTAAATGCGTCTAAACCAATCAGATTTTAGTATTTAACATGAAAGTATAATAAAAATAAATATTACAGTGAACCTTAATTGCGCGCATAAATTCTGCGCGGTCAATATTTTTTGGAATATCACTCGTCGTCAAGCAATGTTGAATGTTGCTACGATGGAGGGCGTGGCTTCATTATTCAGCGGGTAATAGTTACTTTTAACAAATGTTTCTCAACGAATCACACTCAATTAATTTACTTGAAAGTATAAAATAATTTAATAAACGGTTAAGAACTCACTCTGCATGCTATCTAGAAGAGAAATTACAAGTTTTTTTCAAGCCTATTACACGTAAATAAAATTCTTAGAAGGAAGAAAAAATAAAGTTTGCAGGTTTATTAAATTGTATGCCTTATATCATATATTCTTCGTAATATACATGTAGCTTAAGTTAGCCACTAAAACGTTTATTTTTACATACATAGATGTCTTCATAAAACCGGAGGTGCTCTTAATTATGAACCAGAGAAATGCTGCATGATAGCATATGTTTGCTGTCAATTGCATAATATTTGTATTGACTTGAAGCTTCTTATACTTGAAGAGGACGAGTTTGATGATATTACTGATGCGGACGGATACCTTACCTATCAAGGACCTCTGAACGATGGCAAAGCAGTGAGAGAAGCGTTGATTCGGCAGCGTTTTTTGTAAAAAAAAAAAAAAAAAAAAAAATAGGTGACATGTAAACTTGCATACCTGGAAAATTTCGAATGGTTTTGAAAAGAGAGAGTGACACAAAGAGTTTGTCGAGTGTGTAATTTTATTCAATACCTAAAGATTTATTTTCAGTTATCTGTCTCTAACAACAAATCCTTTCCTTTTCCGACACTTCCATTTAATTTTGTCAAAAGTTCATTGCAATGTGTTTTTTTTTTAAGTTCTTGCTCAAGAACTTGGCACTGCAGCTCATAAACGTCATCCAGAGTTCTTTTCCTTTTTAGCTTATTTTTCCTGTAGAATTGTCAATGTGATTTTATGATTTTACACAGTTGCATTGTTAACAATTTTAATTTTTTTTAATTCAAAAAATAACTTCAATCTAATTATTTCAACGTACATAAATCAATGACAACAATATTCTTCATATCATCACGTAAGTTATCTGTGTTTGTAAGCAGGACACAAACTCTGTTATCGCTAGTGTTTATGTTTTACCGGGTGTGTTCAATTTTTTTAGTCTGCACACATCAATAAGCATAAAATGAAAATACTGGTGAGTTTGTTTCTATCTTGAATTTTCTGGATTAAAATGTTCATATTTTTCATTTATACACAACAAAATTTCTACTTATTGGGGCTACTGGAACAAGTATTCCGTCGATATTTCCAGTCCAACACGATTTATCGGATATTACAAATTTAAAATTACAATAAAATTATCTAGAGTTGATGTTAATTTGTATAAAAGAAAATGTTCAGTTATTAACTGAATTTTGAATTCCCAACAGTTTTTGAAATATCCACTGTGCCTAGCTTAAGCCATATAAAACATCTGCAATTTATACCTAAAATATTTCTTGCAAATTCATTTCAGATTGATTCATAGCAAAATTTCAACAAGGTCAGGGCCATAGCAACGGTTTCAAAAGTGTGTGTGTGCGTGTTGGAGGGGGGGGGGCAACTTCCCAAAATTATCTGACACCCCAAAAAAGCTAATTTACTGTCTAAATCCTGGAATTTACCAGTCCTCGACCTTACAACATCAAAATAAAAGGAGGAGGCAACCAGCATCTAGAAGAAAATTTATCATAGAAAAAATACTACACTCAACCCCCCCCCCCCCCCAACACCCCCGCGTTCTACGGGCCTGAAGGTCTTTTTGTAGAAGATGATTAATAGAAAACAAAGTTCTAAGTGCATGCCAATACTTCGGTACTTTGATTTAAACAGATCAAACTATTTGCGTAAAATAATCAAATTGATACGTTTTAAAAAAAGCAAGGTATTCGTTTGTATTGAAATTACCCAGGTGCCTTAACGACATTTTCTGCTTCCATCCCATTCTGTGTTTCTTCCTTCTCCTGTGAAGCCAGGGGTGGTCCCGGAGACTGAGACAATGTAAGGGCGGGAACTGCGGCTTTTTTGGAATTTATTGAGGAGGTCGGTGTGGAAAGCCAAACGTCCTCAACTTTGAATAAATCCACTTCTGTAAATGCATTATTAGAATTTTAAATCAGAAGCAGGTTTGCATTCACTTATTGTTCATGGGGAAAATATGATGTTTTGATGTAGTAATTTTTTTAAAGCGACTGAATTGATAATACATGTATATGTATTTGTCACAGAAAATATCAAGTTTAAAGGCGAAAATATTCCGCAAAATTTAGGGGGAAACTTGTTAATTGATACCTGTACTGAAATCGCTAAGAAGGGATACCGTCGACTATTATATAAGGTATTTGGTTATTTGAAAAACTTCATCATGATGTGACTTGTACAGACATACATTAAATTTCCTCATAACTTTGTAATAAATAAATAAAGCATAAGAGGAACTTTTTGATTAAAAGATTGCTTAAAACCTCGGAGTGTTATTTACTTGTAACCATGACTCAATTCAGTTGGGCAAGTTCAGCGGTATCACAAGTAGAATGAGAATGAGCTTTGTCAAAGAGACATCCATTGGTGATTATAATATGGCCTAAGGACAAGGCCAATCGTGGAAAAGAAGGATTCTTAGTAGGGATTATCATTTTGAGAACTTACTCATAGTATTTCTTAATCTGAAATTATTAGTTTATGGATTTTAAAATTGATTTTTACAGACTACACTACAACCGAATCATCAACAGCTTCAACTTCTTTCAATGAGTCATTCACATCATCTAAAACAATAACAACAAATAAAGCTCAACAATCAATAACCGTTACGCAAGAGACCAGCTCTGTGGAAGAAACAGAGAAAACACAAAATACAAATTCAGTGGACCTAACAACGGATACCACACAAGAAGCAATAACTACGCGGGAGTCAACAATACGTCATACAACTCTCAGTCACGTGACTTCTAATGTGACAAGCGTGACAAAAGGACGTCATATCAAAACGAGTACAGAATCAGAGCTCACAAACCTGACTCCGGATACAACAACAATCCCTGTAGGGGAGACATCTATTTCAGTCACAACAAATACTAAAACTACCAATATAAAGACCCCAAAACAGGGCATCAAACCAACAGCAAATACGGCAACATCGACAACAAAGTCTTTCGTAACCACAGAGTTTAAAACAAAACCAACTGATAAGGAATCAAAAGCACAACAAACCACGCTTGCCACTTCAGGATTCAAAACAAAAATACAAACCACCAACCAGTTAGGAAATCCAACGACCACCCCCGTCTCCACATCAACATTAAGCTCTTCAAAGAAACCGACAAAAATCTGGACGAGTACGGTAAAATCAACTGCCGCCACAAAATCTTTGTCATCCTTCACCAAAAAGCCAACAAAAATCACGACTGTGAAATCAAGTACAACAACTACCGTTACTTCAGCATCAAGCTCCATCTCCAAGCTAGCAAAAATAACTACTTTACCACGTTCTACGAAGAAATTAACCACTACCACCATCGCTACGTCACAATCACAATCAACCTCAAAGCCAGCTAAAATCCGGACAACAACACTAAGGTCTACCAAAAAAATAACCACTACATCCGCCGCTACATCGCAATCAAGATCCACCACAAAGCCTGCAGATATTACGAAAACAACAGGAAAATCGGGAACAACTATCACCATGTTACCCTCAAGCTCCACCACAAAACCAACAAAAAGCCGCACAACTTCACTAGCTTCTACCAAAAAATTAACCACTGTCCCTACAACCGCCACATCTCCATTAAGCTCCACAAAAAAATCAGTCTTTACTACAGTCTCCAGAAAAACAGGATTGACAACCACTCAGACATCCACCACTTCAACAGGAAAAACAAAATCCTCAACAAGAAAAGCGATAAAAACAAGTTTCAAAACAACTAAAACCCCTTATCAAACTATCTCAACCACAACTTTAAGTACATCAACAGCTCGGTCTTCTGCTCCTAGCACAATTTCCTATCTAACAACATTACGAAATTTTGATTTTTATAATAATACCATAAATGAAGACGTACATTTTGTTACGACACATTCCACAAACGACACAGATATTCCTAATATAATAGTAGTTGGACGACAATCCGCCTCTGACGATCCGCCCGTCCGCACTCTTTTGATCGGACTAGCAGCAGGGGTGGCAGTAGGACTTGTGATTGTTGTTGTAGGATGTTATTTGTGGATTCGAAGGAAGCGCAGGAAGGAATTAGAATGTGACGAAATGATGCCAATCACAAAAACAGGTTCTCAAGAATGGTGAATGATCTCAATTTTAACTGGAAGGAAACTAATCATTCAAATTTTTTCTCGGCATTGAACTCTGGGGGCATTTAAAATCGACCAGGGAAAGTGCGCTCTGTGTAAATTTTCACTATTTGAATGTGTAACATTTGACGTGTGATTTTCAAAGTAATGTTCAAGTGCAGTTACAGTTATTGTGTTCCATAGTATGCAAAATGCGTGACATTATAATTGTTTTTCATTCAAAGGAAGATATTACATGATTTTTTTTTTAACTTTCTACATTTTGGGTGATAAAATTTAAAGTTTGTGCTTGCTTAAGATTTATAATAATTTAACTGGGTTTTGTTCTTTATCCCCATAAATACCGGTATTCCAGAAAATCGTTAGCAGGGTGGGATCGAGTTCATGCAAATTATTTAACGTTATACGAATACTCGTATATTTTAAAAAAAAATCCTTTTAAGAAGTAGAACAAAGACAATGCCTATCAAGCTTGTGGCAAAAGGATGGTCAAAGGCAATAACGAGCTCTTGAATTCAAATATAACCCTATATATTATAGTATATCCAAATGTCTGAAACGATAGTCAGATTACACAGTAACACCCCCCCCCCCCCCCGATTTTTTTTATATAAATTTACCTAAAATGATTAATTGTGACAACGTTTTCACATGAAATTCTATACCTATTACTGGAAAAGACATTTTCTTGTTCTACATGTAGTTCTGTCATAAATTTATTTTACATGGTACCAAACTGAGCTGCCTATATTCATTTTTAAGTCAACTATAATTATGACAAAACGATGTATCCGTCGAATGGGGAAGATTCCAACCAACTCACTATTTTTAGTTTAGGATCGTTATACGTAAGATTATAAGTAAGATTTAGAATCAAAGAGCACGTACATGATTAAATAGAGAAAATTACAGACAAATATCTGGTTCCAGTTAATCCATCTTCTTTTATACACATGAAGTTCATTGTTAAATTTATACAATTTTTCTTCAAATTTATAATACACATATAAGTATTTAATGATATTTTGGATAGTTATATTTTGGTTTTTTCTTGATTGTTGAAAAATGTACTGTTTAATAAGTAGCAATATAAGATTAATAATTGTGTCTTCTTTAGAAGAACCAAGTATAACTGTGCACACATCAAATCTTATTATTTTTCCAGTTTTTTCAAATATCCAATCTTCTAGAAGAGACCACAATGGGTTAACTTTAGGACAATAAAAGAAAATATGAACAATTGATTCAACATTTTGCTGACATAAAGAACATAGATTATTTTCTCTCATTTTTGACAAAAACAAATACTTATTTGTACCAAGAATCCTATGTATGATTCTAAAATTAAACCATAAAAGCCTTGTGCCTTTTGTTATTGAATAATATTTTTTATGAATTAATTTCCAATTAAAATCCTGCTGTAACTGCAGTTCTTTAGCCCATTTTGATTCACACTTTGGTGAAGTATATACATGTAATGACAAATACGTATCATAAATTGTTTTAGAACCTTTTTTATCTTTATTGACGATTTCCACAAATTTTGGCTGATAAGGTCGTGTGACAGAATTTATACCAACATTTCTAACATTTGGCCAAGAATGCAAAATTGCCCTTTTTATGCCTTCGTATATGGTAAAAGGGACTTTTAAAGAAAATTCTTTAACAAGATCATCAAAGCGTATAAAGTTACCATAACTGTCAAATAAATCACCAACTACAATAAATCCCTTTTCATACAATGGCCTTGAAAAAACATACTTATTTTGAGTCATAATTTTATTATTATACCACAGAGGTTCCAACAAAATATCTCCTTGGTTCGAGTTACATGTTATAAGACTTAAGAATTTTGAAAATACATACAGTACTTCTTTCCAAAAGCTATTTTGTGTATTCTTTGCTTTAGCTTTTGAATATTCTGGCAAAATGGGACAGGTTTACAATATTACATTTTGTTATTTCAGTGAACAGTGGGATCCAACTACACTTTGTAAATAGTAATCTTCTGATCCAAGTTAATTTTAAAGATTTAATAAAACGGTCAATATTGGTCATTTTAAGACCACCATTCTCTTTGGAAAGTTGCATTGTTTTTCTTGAGATTTTTTCTGTTTTATTGTTCCATATAAATTTATAAAAATGTTTTTCCAAATCTTTAATCCACTTTTTGTTTGGCTTTGGGAGAACAGTAAACAAATGTGTAAGTTTTGATAAAAATAAACTCTTTATTACTGTAACTTTCCCTAATGGAGATATATTTCTTTTTGACCATGATATTGTTTCCTTTTTAATGTTTTGAAAACATTTCACAAAATTTAGCTGTTCCATATTTTTTAGATCAGCAGTGTATGTAATGCCGAGGACTGTAAACGGTTCCACTGTCCACTGAAGTCCTATTTCATTACATAATGTGTTTCTGGAATTTATTTCAGAACCTATCCATATAGCTTTTGTTTTAGTAATATTTGGTTTAAGTCCTGAAAATTTTGAAAATTGAAAAAGAAGATCTAAAGCACTTTTTAGGCTTTTTTCTGAACCATCTAAACACATTACTGTGTCATCTGCATATTGAAGTAAACAATATATTTTTTCCTCACCTATTTTCATTCCCTTCATATTGTTTATTTATATATTTATTTTGTCTAATCATGTATCCCATAATCTCTACACACAGGTTAAATATATATATATATATATATATATATATATATATATATATATATATATATATATATATATATATATATATATATAATATATATGGAGAGACAGGATCTCCTTGGCGACAACCCCTCCCTATTTTGAAAAATGATGAAAATATACCATTTTGGATTACACATAGTTGAGTTTGATTAAATAATACATGTATCCATCTAATAAGATCAGGTCCAAAGTTAAAAAAACTTCAGTGTTTTGTACATAAATTTCCATGACACTGAGTCAAAAGCCTTCTCAAAATCAGTAAGTAAAATAATTCCTGGTATATTTCTTGTCTTTGCACTGTGAAGTATGTCATAAATTATGCGTGTATTTTCACCAATAAATCTATTCTTCAGAAAACCTTTTTGATTGTCATGTATAAGATAATCTAATACACCTTTAATTCTATTTGCAATGCAAGCAGAAGCAAATTTGTATGAAACATTAAGCAATGATATTGGTCGCCAATTTTTTTAAATATTCTCTCGATTTTTCTCCTTTTGGTAAAATTGATATAATTCCTTGTTTCTGAGTGGTAGATAATTCTCCCTTTTGAAATCCATAGTTAATTGATCTAATAAGGAACTGTCCAATATCTTTCCAAAAAAATTTGTAAAACTCAGCTGTAAATCCATCACTTCCTGGGCTTTTGTCATTTTTCATGTTTTTCAATGCTGTTAAAGCTTCGGCTTTGGTTATTACACCTTCTGACTGATACCATGATTCTTTATTTAATATTTTAACATATTCCATATTTAAAATGCTTTTCAAGTCGATATCATTTAGTTTATCATCACAACATGCATATTGATTTTTATAAAAGGTTTCAATTTCTGTTAAAATTTCAGATTGTTCTGTTATTATATTACCACATCTTGAACTAGTTTGGTTACTGTTTTGTTTATAAAATTTCTTTTTTCCAAACTTAAAAAATACTTTGTCGGCTTTTCCCCTTCTTCTATCCACTTAACTTTTGTTCTCACAAACAGACCTTTAATGTATTCTTTTCGTATATCTTCCAATTTTCTTTTTGAATGTTCCAACTTTTCTATAATTTCAGGTGAATTTTCAGTATTTCTATTACTTTCTAATTGAGATATTTCTTCTTCTAATTTTTTGACTTTATTTTCCTTTTCTTTTTTCTTTCTTGAACAGTAACTAATTGTAGCTCCTCTTATGCTTAAAAGTAATTGCTCAAAAAATTGTTGGTCATCAATTTGGAAAGAAATAATTTCATTTTCTTTTTCATTAATAGCAATAGGATTGTAAGGAGAAGCCATATATTGTTTTTTAAGTATAATAATTATGTCCTTTACAAGCTCAATATATTTTTTATCTGTAAGCAAGGAATTGTTAAATTTCCAAAATCCTTTCCCTTTTACAAAATTTGAAAAACATATAAACAGCTCAACAATAGAATGGTCAGATCTGTAGCCGGGACTTATATTAACTTTTTCTACAAAAGGCATTAATTCATTTGATATTAAGAAAAAATCTAGTCTAGCTTTTTTTATTGGATTATTTTTGAACCGTGTATACCTTCGGAGTGTCTCGTATTTCACCCTCCAGGGATCTGTAAGATTGTTTGCTTCCTTTATGTTTAAAACAACATCTCTAGATTTTTTATTGTTAACTTGATTATAATTTTAATAGTCTAGATTTGGATCCTGAACAAGATTAAAGTCACCAGCAGTGATAACAAATTCACCATCAAAATTTGAAATGATGTCAGAAATAAATTGAAAAAAATCTGGACAGTCCTTGTTTGGACCATATAGGTTAATAAGTAAAAAAAATCATATTTGTTACACACATTAATTTCAAGTATAATATAGTTTCCCTCCTCATCTCTCAATTCACTTTTAACATTATGTTCAAAATTATTATTTAGGAGTATTGCTGTGCCTCTGGCATCAGATTTTCCAGGAGAAAAATAAACGTTAAATCCCCAAAAAGCTCTAATTTGTTCATAATCTTTTACAGTAAAATGTGTATCTTGTAAGAAATAAATTGAATATTGCTTTTGTTTAAGGAAGTTCAATACATCTCTTCTTTTCTCTATAGAACCTAACCCTCTGCAATTGAGGGACATCATCTTAATGCTCACAGACAAAACTCTTATTTAGTATATTAAACAACATCATCACAACGTCTCAACCAATTTCATTACATTATATTTAATATTTTTCATTAATGCAAAACAAATTTTCTTCTTTTCTTAAATATTATGGATAAATTTTCCTTCGTGAAAATGAAAGGATGTATGTCAATCAAACGCGTCCCGTAATTTTTAATAATTTTCAGATGA